ATATATATATATATATATCTTATTATTAGTAAATTTTGAGTTTTATTTGTTCAATACATTCATTGACAATGTACATAACATCTATGAAAGTTTTACACCAAAATTATGTGTTTCAATGCCTATATCTGTCATTTTTGTTGATTTTTTCCCAATACCCAAAACGATAACGATATATTCCTCGAAATATCCGTAAATTGGAGGCCCGATATTATCTGCACGGCCGATATTTTAATCCTTGGTTTTATGTTTAATATTTGTGGCTTGACCAATCCCTTGGGTGGCATGTTTACTTAGGGATGGTTGCGGTTCGGTAACTGCGAATTTTTGCTCAAACCACAAACCGACCGACTATTTACGGTATGGTGATTTTTAAAACCGCAAAAAACGGTTGGTTACAGTGAATTAGCGGTTTAAAACCGCAAGTTCTTTTTGTGTCATAAAAATTCAATTTTCCACATTTTATATCTAATTTTGATGCTTCTTTTAAAGCCTTTTGATTTCAAACATACTTTAACCCAAAAATATAAATTCACAACTAAATAAATAAATTCACAACCTCAACTTCTCAAGCATTCACAACCTAAAGAAAATTAAAGTTACAATTCTAAGCATTCCAATTAAAATTAAACTTCTCAAGCATTCACAACCTCAACTTCTCAAGCATTCCAATTCCAAATCCTTTAAAGTTACAAATCAAAAGGAAAATGCAATGCAAAATGAATTAAAGTTACAACCCAAAGGAAAAATCCAATTCAAAGTTAATTAAAGTTACAAACTAAAAGAAAAATGTAATGCACCAATGTTACAAATTAAAGTTACAAACTCAAGTGTTGGTGGTGGTGAGTGGATTTGAAAGACCTCGTTGTATTGTTTGAGCACCAATGCTATCTACAAAATGCAATTTTTTATTTATTTATAAATATAGTCGCGGTTTGCAGTAACCGCAAGTTTTAAAAATCAAATACCACAACCGCAAATGCGGTTCGGTTCTTCATACCGCAAATGCGGTTCGGTTTCCCGCGATTGCGGTTCCATTGCGGTAAATTGTCGATTGATTTTTGCGGTTTTTGGGTCTAAATTGTCGGTTGGTTTTTTCGGTTTTTCGATTACCTGAAATAAATATTGGAATTATTTTGATTATTCAGTGGCATGTTTACTTATTTTGAATGAATATTGGAATTATTTCGGTTTTCGACTTCCCTTTAGTATAGGTCTTGAAATTATTTCATTTCATGACTTCATAAAATCCAAATTTCTAAGCTTGAAAATTCAAGAATTAGATTGATTAGGGCAATCTCAGACCTTATCTAGTTGAGGGATGGCGTACAAGGCCAAGAGCTCTTTAGGCAAAGGGATTATCCTCCATCCCACAAACTTGCCCTAGGGTAAAGACTTAATTATTTGGAAGGAAGAAAGGGCTAGGTTTGGTGAGCAGAGTCTTGGCAGAGAGAAATACTTGTGTGAAATATGAATAGCACTATTTTGCAATCCCAAACCAAACGCGAGATTCCACATTTAACAACTTTAAATATGAATAGCACTATTTTGCAATCCCAAACCAAACGCAAGATTCCACATTTAACAACTTTTCCGCCTGTCAGCTTGTGATTGCTCGGGTTATGCTTGGGAGGACAATTGGAAATGTGAGAATTTATGCATGAATCTAATCTCGGTAGTGTGGGCCAGTTTTAGCCGGCATCAAAACTGTATCGGAAATCCTAGATGATTTTCTCCCACTCCTCCAATTTTGCCATCTGCCCCTTCCCCACAATCATTTCATTTACGCAGGTTCATAGAACCAACCTAGGCTGCATTGTCAAATCTAGTCTAGCACCTTCCAATTTCTGCATTTCTTTGTAGAACAAAAAATTCTCTCCTTTCACAGAATCTAGTGACATGAAAAGTTTCCCCCATCCTATATGAATTTTTAAGTTACCAACTTATGATCAGTGCGCATTAATTCCAAAATAACCTTTGGCAAGTTATCAAGAACATATAGAAAGCAAAAGGCAAAAGTGGATAAATTTATTTCATATTTCCATTATACACATAAAGCTCCGAGTACAATACGAATACATGCTTGTTCAGATCTAACTATTACCCGTTGATACATAAATAGCACGCGACTTACTTCCCTCATATTACTTGGGCTCTGTGCTCTGGTCCTAACTTGTCAATTCCGTATCTCTCCCCACTACACCCTCTTCTAACTCATAAGTCATCCAGGATGGTGGACATCAGCAATCCTTGAACAAACTCACACTTCCGCGCCTTCTCTTCTTGGTCCTTATGTGATAGCGGTGGTTGTTGCACAATTCTGTCATCATAGACCAGCCAGCGTTAAAACTCTATAGAAATCATAGTAAATTCACCACATAGAACAAAAACAAATAAATAGACTCAAAGTCATGCTAGTGCTCATACCTTTCCAAGAACTCTTCCTTTGTGCTTTCCTTTACAAAAGAAGCTTCGACAAAAGGATCGGGTTGTGCGCTCACATCCTCATCAACTGTGGGTGGGTTATATATAAAGGAAGACAGCAAAGGATCAGCTTCCGTGTTTGAAGAAACAAGGAAAGAAGAACCTCCGAGAAGGGCTTGTAAACTTCCTTCTCGAAGCTCTTTCCTTAATATAGAAAATGTTGAATTAGATCCCCTGCGAAATTTCCTCTTGCGCTGAACGTAATCTATAGTCAAGGAACACATCACTTCATACTCCAGACTTCAAAAGGAAATATGACCAAAACATAAATAAACATGGAAGTGAAAGTTATCCAAGTTTCAATGCAATAAATGGCCATTCTAGAATAGGTGTGACAGGTGCAAATGAAGAGTCTAACAAAGGGAACAAGTTGAAGGTGACACTCAACAACACTATGATAACTGGTCAGTGTGCTGACCAGATACATGAAAATATGCAAGAGTGAATCTAAGATAAAGGCCATATTTTTAACAAAACCACCATTTCTGACTGTAATACCCATATGTTGCCATTAAAATTAAATACAACAAAAGTTGGCTTTTCTAAATCACACTTATTTCTTTCAAAAGTGTTCATTTGATAAGGAATTCAACCTCCAGATATAGATACAATAAGCATGTATGTAAATGATAACCAAACCAAGCATGGAAAAATTCAAAACTAAAGTGAAATTCACCAAAGGATATCTTTAACAAACTCCCATGTTGCGTGGTAATATGGCTCACAAGGTTTGCTCCCACCCTTTTGGCACAAACTGGACAGACCTGGAAAAAAATGAAAACAGAACATTCAAAACAATAACAATGGGCTAGTTCATAAATAATCCAAGAGAGATGAAAATTATAAATGGTAACAAAGGGCACGTTCATAAACAACCCATGTGAACCAGTCCCACCTTTTTATTCAATTTAAGAAAACAATTACACATGCAATATTAACTATCTGTAAATTAACAAAGAAAGGTAACTACAAGGTTGACCTGACTAACCGAGCTCCAACAGACTGGCTCAAACCCATAGGTCACACTCAAAGCCATATACCAGGCTAGTGTTGAGCATACCACGCACAACACTAACAAGGAAAATTCCAACATTGCCTTTCTAAAAGGCTTCAAACAAAAATCAAATACTAAGATGATTAACCCTCTTGTCTCACCGTCATCTACCTCATGCACCCCATCACCAGTCATAACAAACCCATCTCAATGAAAGTACCTCTTAGTTGCAACTCAAACCTACTCAAAGGAAAGTCCAGTCCAACCCATTCAAAACCACAGCCAAATGACAAAAAACCAAGTAAACCACTAGCATCCCTTTGAATGCTATCACAATGATAGATTTCCTCCCCTAAAGTTTGCTCAATCTGTACGGAATCATGAGTGTCTTTGTAAATTATGCAAATAAAATGTTCCTTTCTAAGCTAAAATGAGAACTGAACGATCATCAAAACGCAAACACTAACATTTCTAGGAGAAAAACAAAAGAAAACCTTCAGAGATCGTACTCTTCCAAATTTCTAAAAGCAAAGCTAGCTGGAACTAATCGATTAAAAGTGCAAAACTTCAAAATTAACTAAATTCAAAAAATTGAATTACATACCCCGTTCTTAGCCTCCACCGGATGTTCCTCATCGATGTGGCAACAAAGCCCAACAACATCAAAATCCTCAGCGCAAAAAGGGCACAAAAACTCGGCCTTTAACTCATCGTCTCCATCAGTTTCGTCGTGCGCAAACAGATCTGCAACGACCACAACCATCAGCACCAAACAAATTCACAGAACACCAAAAAACAAGAAAAATGACGCGAACCTGGGTTAGTTTGGGAAAAGTGACCGGATCGAGATTGGTACCGCCTCGACGAAGAGCTCGAGAAGAGACTGCTCCACGAATTATCAGACTCCATCTTGATACACATACACTATTCAATCAAGGCGATGGCGAATTGGGAGCTCAAATCGAATTTGGGTCCGAATTTATAAAACCCTAGAAAGATTGAAGACGAAGAGAGAAAAAGCGAGTGTGTGTGTATGTGTGTGTGTGTGTGTGTGGTGGTGTGAGTGAGGAAGCGACCGAGAAATAGCGTGAGAGAGAACACAGAAGACTCTCTACCGAACTTCCGGTAGGGGTTAAGCTTTATTTTATAGTCCCTACGTGGTGGAAATAGCCCGTGGATTTCATGTTAATTTCGGAATGCCCCTAACTACCAGAGCCATGCGTTTTTTATACAGGTGGAAGGATTTCATTGGACAGACAGCGTGTGTGTGAATGTCATTCACACGTGTAGAGGTCGTGATTTCAGAGTTTTTTTCTTTTTCGATTTTTTGTTTTATATTCGTGGCTTAACGCGGTTTTCTTCTCGCGCACGTTTTGATTAGAACTGTATGGGCCCCGCACGCTTTGGAGAAATTAGTGAAAATTGGTTTGGATTGGACTAAGTTATGTAAATCCAAATCCATTTCAACTTCTTTTGCTCGAAATTAACATTGCAAAGGGAGACAGGGAAAACCATTTTGATTCCAATTACGAATTAGTAAACACCTCATAAAAGGAAAATCATTTTAGATGTTTATTCGAGTATAGAATGCTTTCTTTACTAAGAATGTTTTTATTTTTGCTCAACACTTTAATCCAAGGTGTACCATCATAATCATTGTCAACACTTCCCACATATCCTTGAGTATAGACATAGTTACGCAAATATAAAGAAAATAGTTAACTATGGTTATGCCTATGAATATATGTCAAGTGTTGAGAATGATAATGAGGGTACATTTTAGGTTAAAGTGGTGAGTAAATATATTTCCAAACCAAAAATCATTTAGCAAGTTACTCACGCAATCATATCAGTTTGATTTAAAGAATTGTAATTTTTCACATCTTGGATGATTTTTTCAATGAACGGCAGTTGAAAGATGGCCAAAAAATACATAAATTTTCTAGCATTGAGTGATATTTTGAAGTAAGAGCATCTTTCTCTCTCTTCAAAAGTGGTAAGGTGACTTTGGCTCTTCAAACATTTAATTTAATTTTGGAAAAACAAAACCTACCTTGGAAATGTTTAAAACATGTCTTTTTTCTTTCATATAATAAATGCGTAGAGGGTCTTTTTGTGGAGGTTTTTTACGAATCATCACGTACACGCGTACACGCATACGTACGGGCGTACATGCATACACGTATACACGCGCGCGGAGTAGGGACACGCCTACGTACGCGCACATACATGCATACGCGCACATGCGCGCCCGGAATAAGGACACGCCCACATGCGCGCGCGCGCTTCGGATTGTCTATTACTCATATTACATATTCACATGTTTTCATATTTTTCATTCTTTTTCATGATATTGCATTAACTGAATTGAAGAGTTAGATGCTCTAACCATACAAGGCATCTATGTGCTATAAATGTATTCCGTACTAATATCAGGTCAATATTATTCCTCATTTAAAGAGGTGGTGTCCTACATAATTATGAGTCCTATTGTATGTATATAGGATGTTTTAATTAATGTGCTAGTTGTACTTTGAACCTAAATAATACCCTCATAACTACATCCATTTAGAATTTGCTACTCTAAATTATAAACATTAATTGTACTATAAGATTCTCAGACAATAACATTTCCTTTCTTATTCCTCACTGTGTTTAGTTTAAAATAATAAACACTTGTGATTTATAATTTGAAATCCCTCACGTGTATGATACAATCACATGAACAAATAAACTGTGAGAGAAATATTTCCGTCTCCTATCACGGCACGCCACGTGAAAAAGAAGATTATCTCTTTAATTAATTAATTGAATCAGTTTATCTGGCCAATTAATTAATAGGGATAAATATCTGAATTAATAGGGTATTATCTTTATTTAATAAGGGATCAAGCCACACGTAGTTCTTTCTTCTGCTCCTGATCTGTAACTGAACTGTTTACTGTAAACCTGGTTCTAGGGTTGGAATTCCTGGAGTATCCGGGACTCCGTTTTATGATCCTTCAAACACTATACGATCCTGGCCAAGTCATAGATTAACCTATCTGAAAATGGTTAGGATCCGACGGTGCAAAACTATTGAACCCGGAAATAACACAATATGCGAGATCCGTTAGGGGTTCAAACATTAACCAAATTGAGATCCGCGAAATCCTACGCGCTCGTGACGACACAAGGATCATTCTAAAACTGAATGTGATCTCCACCAATCTGCCCACGCGCCGGCAGAGCGTGGGTGGCTTGATCAATTTTCAGCGACTGGAAAAACTCCGAACCGCCAGCCCAAACTCCTAACTTAGATAAAACACCCCATTTGGAACAAGTTTTGTTCTTGGACATACCCGAAAAAGTGGCCGACACTGGCCGAAACTGTGCTCTCAAATTGGCTGAAACCTAACTCGTAAATCGAGCTATCTATGCTTGAAATTTCTGAAATTTTTTCCAACCAGCAGCTAGATCATGAAAAATAGCTAAAAAACCATACCTCACTCGTCCGATTTGGTGGCCGGACGACAGAGAATGAAAGGTTGGAAGTTCTGTCAAAAACTGTTCAGCACCGCCTGTTTCGTGGCTGTTTCCGGTGACTATAGCGGCGGATCGAGGCGGTGAAGGGCTGGGGCTGGAAGAGAGAAGTTTTTTGGTTCATTTGGCACTGGTCTTGCCTGAATCGGAGGTTGGAGCTGAGAGAAAACAGCTCCCAAAGTCGGCTGGTCGTGCCCCCGAATCCAGAAATTTCTGGGTTTATATAAACTGAAGTTCGAAACATTTACGGTTATGCCACTAAACTTCTTTTAATCGTAACTCCTTCGTTACAACTCCGATTTGAGTCCACTACGTATCTACGGACTTATCTCGCTGCGCTTTAAGCAACGGTATAACTGAAATCCCAAAATTTCTTCCTAGTCAAAAAGTCAACTTTTACACTATTAAAATATTCTAGTGGTATAATGGTCTTTTATTGGAATAAATTAATAATTAAATATTAATTAAGGACCGGGTTGTTACAATCTACCCCCTTATAAAATTTCATCCTCGAAATTTACTTATCCTTCACTGGATGGGGTGAAGGTGTTGGGCCTACGACTGCTACTCGGGTGCTTATGTACGCTCTTCTAGTACTGCACTCACCACTTGCATCTCAATAACTGTATCTATAAGACAATCAATAAAATCTGAAGGCAACCTATGTATATATGGGTACCTGAGGTGGCTTAAGCAAGTATAAAACTCTAAAAAGATCTGCTAATTAACTGAATTTCTGATAAATTCAAAACTCTGCTGCCATTAATATGATATTTAGCTAAAATCCTTTTTTTCCTAGGAGTGTCCGACACCTGGCTAATGTTGGGCACAAAAGACTAATTTGCCCTTTTTAACTGAAATTAACTGAAATTCAAGTGCGACTTCTACCGAAAATTCGGCAGAGTTTCCCCTGTAAACTGAATATTCCCAAAAACATTCTACCTGTAAAACAAGCATATATGTTTAAATATGTATCTGTATCACAACTGCCAGCATGTAACGAATTGTATCCAAAAGGAATCAAGCATTGTAGCACTCAAGTCTCAGGTTGCAACAAATCAAATAATTCAATCTGCTCAGGAGATTCATGTCAACTTTGAGATCAATAAAAATACTCTGGCAACCTCAAACATTCTAACTCGTGCATTCTTACTTATGCATGATTATCAAATAGTAGTTCTGCTGGAAAAAAAAAAAAACATTGAATGTATAGTTCATCCTATTCTGTAATCCTTGCTGGACTCCGGAGACATCTGGTCAACCTGATCCGCAATTTTGGCTCCCACAATCTGGATAACTGTAAAACTCGTGAGGCAAAATATGCTAGTATTACTGAAACTGTTTAATACCATATCCAATAGTAAAATATGAAAGCCAACAACTTACATGAAATAAAATAAAACAACTTAAATAAAATAAACTAAGATGAATTAAAGCAAACTAAACTAAAATAAATAAAGTCCATAAATAAATACATATATATATATATGCATACATATACTCCATCTATTGCTTGTAAAACAACTGTGATGTTTAAATAAATAATGGTAACTGTATAAATTCCTTAATTTAGTTTAAAAACATTTCAAAACTTAAATCCTCTCCACCTAGGTGTATCCCAATATCTGATCCGTCAATTCCTGATATCCGTCAATTCCTTTAATGCCGTCAATTCCTTTAATACCGTCAATTTCATCCTCACAGGTCTCGAAAACACAAAGTTAACCGAGCCGCATTCCTCGCAGGTCTCAGGGGACTATTAGTTAGCCTGAGCCGCAATCCTCGCACCACACGGTTCAGGCGTCCCCGATACTCGTGGGGCATAAACTATCTCAAGGCAATTGGGGGGTACCCTATGGTCGGTTTGAAAACCATAATCTGTTATTTCCGGCGACCTGAAAAACTCCGAACCGCTGGCCCAAACTCCTAACTTAGGTAAAACACCCCATTTGGAACAAGTTTTGTTCTTGGACATACCCTAAAAAGTGGCCGGAACTGGCCGAAACTGTGCTCTCAAATCGGCTGAAACCTAACTCGTAAATCGAGCTATCTACGCTTGAAATTTCTGAAATCCTACCCAACCAACAGCTAGAGCATGAAAAATAGCTAGAAAACCGTACATCACTCGTCCGATTTGGTGGCCGGACGACAGAGAACGAAAGGTTGGAAGTTCTGTCAAAAACTGTCCAGCACCGCCTGTTTCGTGGCTGTTTCCGGCGACTATGGCGGCAGATCGAGGCGGTGAAGGATTGGGGCTGGAAGAGGGAAGTTTCGTGGTTCATTTGGAACTGTTCTTGCCTGAATCGGAGGTCAAAGCTGAGAGAAAACAGCTCTCAAAGTCGGCTGGTCGTGCCCCCGAATCCAGAAATTTCTGGGTTTATACAAACTGAAGTTCGAAATATTTACGGTTATGCCACTGAACTTCTTTTAATCGTAACTCCTTCGTTACAACTCCGATTTGAGTCCACTACGTGTCTACGAACTCATCTCACTGCGCTCTACGCAACGGTACAACTCAAATCCCAAAATTCCTTCCCGATTAAAAAGTCAACTTTTACACTATTAAAATATTCTAGGGGTAAAGTGGTCTTTTATTTGAATAAATTAATAATTAAATATTAATTAAGGACTGGGTTGTTACATCCA